TGGAGACAGAAGCTTAAGCATCCTTAACTACCTCCTGTTTACTCTGGTTTTGGCCAGTAGCATCTCTCTATTTGGGCCCCCTAATCATTGATGTTGTGAGTAATCTCGAAGCTTTGTGCGTGTTTTGCAAAACATCCTGGCAAACAGGCAAAAAAAGAGCAAAGTAATTTTTGTGCCATCTCAAAAAAAAAGGGAAGTCTACAAAGCCTACATACAAAAATTCTATTCTATTTTTTTTTTAATTTACAATAACATTTTAGAAGAAAATAGGTGCCTGGTATAAATTCATGTAAATTTTTTGAGGCCAGTGGACTTCACAACAGTCAAGATGTGATTTTTTCTCTTGTAAATTCCCTTCAGCAAGAAATACATCTTCTTGAGTTGGATTTGTTGAACTCAGTAATGTATTTTCACAACTTTAAAATACACGGGGGAAGCATGCGCATCCTTGTATTACCAGCTAGACTCACTTGGGTCGCTAGAAATGTAATGACTCCAGCTGCAAACACAGTTTTGCTACCTGTGCACATGAGAGACAAAGAGGTGCATATATTTTTATGCATAGCTGCATGCACTTTTTTGAAAATCTGGAAATCTAGGGGTGCTGTGATGCAATGAGTAAAAAGTATATCAAACGGAAAAAAGCACCTTGCTAAATCTCTCTAAGTTCAGTAAATTCTCTCTCTCTTTTTTTAATTTCATAACCACAGAAGATTCGTGGCTGAGTATGGACACATACAGATTTTGAATTGGGGGGGAAACGATAACTGTGACAAAAATGGTTTAATTCAAGATTATTCTTAGATGCTTAAGCCAGTGCATGAATCCAACCTCAGTACGTTAATTTCTGATACTTTAAAACAGTTAATGTGTTTTGTTTTATTTGTTGTTTGGTTGAGCAGATGGTAATGGTTTTGACACAATTCAGTTTTTTATTTTTCTTCTTTTCTTTTCTTGAAAAAGACAAGGCTCTTTTTCCCACTTTGTCACAGCTGGTTACCAATCAATCTCAATTCACGGTACAGTGATGATAGCACATGTTGTTCAGGGGCCAAATCTGATTGGGTTGCATTTTCAGCAGTGTTTCATATTAAAAAAAAAAGTGTCTGTATGGCAGTGACTGTCAGCACACTATTGTACAACTGTCATTAATCAAAACTAGCAACAATGAATGCATTCATATGTGCCAGAGACTGCCAGATTTCACTCAAAATCACCCAATTTCTATTAGAATTTCCTCACCAGCAGTGTTTTCTCATCTGCTTGTTGTTTCTCTGTTTCTTTCTTCCTTTCCAGTCCCTTGCCCCCCTTCCTTCTTGGCTAATTAAAGGCAGACCTGCTCTAACTGTTACTTGTAGAGCAGAAATTGTGTAACGTGGTGCCCAGAAGTGGCTGGTTTCTGTCGAGGCACAGGCTGACTAGCTGTTCAAGAGGCATCTCCCAGCTCAGTCTGATGGCTGAAGTCTAAGCTGAACTGAAAGGTTAAGCACCTCCAAATGTTTAACAAAGAGAAGTACTTAAAATCAATTAGATGGCCATAAACATGTAAAACTGATGCCTGACACCCTAGGTTTTTAGTGGAATGTTGGCATTAGTTGGCTAGGAGTCAGCAGTATTTTGGCAATATGTCAGAAGGTGTTTCTTGACACTGCACATATTTTGAAGGCGTTGCCGCCTTAGTGCACTGGCTATGTTAAGGACCAATTTAACCAGTACGCTCTGGTTTTCCGCCACTCCATCATCAATCCAGGAGTCTGGTAACCTCTGCCTGTGATTGGCATTAGCAGTCAGAGAGGCCCTGATCCTGATTCCCAAATGTTCAGTAGCACTAATCCAGATAAGAGTCAACTTCTCCAGAAACTCGGGTGGAAGCATCTTGCTGTGGGAATATGAGGCTCTGAGACCGAGAGGAGAGAAGGCATTGTTCAAGGCTGTGCAAGTAGATGCTTGAAAAACTGAAAACATACTCAGGCTTCACTCCTTGTTACTTCACTGTTCCTTTCTCACACAAGCTTCTTGTGCTGCTGTGGATCAGGCTGCAAGCCAGTTTTCTTCCTTTCTCCTTCCTGCCTGCTTCATCTGTCAAAGCTTTTCACTGAACTGTGGTGACTTCTGGGGACAATGTGGGTGGAACAGATGACTGAGGGGCAGCGTGTCAATACTTCAGGACAGCAGATGGTTATAATGTCCCACGGGTCCATCTATACACGAATCTAATTGCTAGATGGCACGTTCTGTCAGGGTGGTCCACAAACCCAGTATGGCCTTGTTGGAGAAGCAGCCTGGGAGAGCTGGACCTCTCCTTGAAGTAACTGATACCTGGGCCGTGACACCGACGTGCTTACGCCACCCTCCATTTCACAACCCAAGTGGGAGATGATGGCTGTACCCTCACTCCGCGTCCTGGCATGCCATGCAGCTGGCTCGTTCCTCCAGCAGCCTTTGCTCAATTTGCATGATTGGCAGGTGCAAGCATAAAGGCTGCCGGAGCCTCCCAGGCAGCTGGCTGGCATGCCGGCACCAGCACATCGGTGAGATGAAGAGCGAGTCAGCTGCAGCCCACAGCAGACTGGAGGGCCCTGTCCCAGGCTGCCCGCGTCCCAGTTCAAGCAGCCACTCCGATAGAGTCCCGCTGCCTGCCTGTTTCTATCTCGGCAGCGGTAAGTGAACCACGGGGACGTTCTTTGTCCAGGGGGGAAAAAAAGAAAAAAAGGCAAGCAATTAGATAAATTGTTAATTGTTGCCCAGCTTTATAACTATGATTCTTGTATCCAACCCATATTTATATTACAGCTCATCTCAGTTTTCTCATCTCACAGGAGATGAATACAGCTTTATATTTTTAGTCCCCTAGGGCTGGCCTCATGTCAAGAAAATAAGCATTTTTCTCTTGTCTGCAACTCTGTGGTCGCCAAAGACAAATAACTGCTCCATCGTTGTGGGATACTGTTGTCATATCCTTGAGATCTTTAAGGGAGACAATTTGCCTTTTCTCTCTTACGAAAACAGTGATTTCTATTTGCCATTGACTAGTGCAGCACAGCATGCAAAATGACATAATTTGTGAGCAGTCGAGAAGAAATGTGCCTCAACTGCGTATGGCTGTTGAGTGTAGTTGCAGAAACTGCATATTAAGTTCTCTAGTTCATAACGTCTCCCCACACCCCCCAACAGTACTACGCTGGCAAAAAAATTGTCCCTAAAAATTTCTGAAGTCTGCCATGGCATCTACTTATTCTTCCCCTTGGCATCTCTCTTATTCATTAGTTAAATCTGAGGTGCTGCACATACATATAATTAAGTGTAACTCCTAACAAAAGAGGTATCGTATATGTTTATGCTTATCTCTGACAGAATGGTTAGCCTCAGTTTGGTCTTTTTTAACTTATTTTTTTGCAAATAATTAAAATGGACTTACGGAATATAGAATGAAGCTGTATTGTATTGTGGTGAGCGTCAAAAGACGTCTTGGCTTCTCTTTATTCTTGCAGTTGCTAGTAATGCTCTAATTGATGTTGTGAGCTTTAATTAGACAAAACAGAACTTTGAAAGTTTCAACATATAGAATCCTTTGTGTTAAGATCCTTTAAAGTCTGTTAGCACAGAGCGCTCTCTCTAGAAACCTATACTAAAGGAACCAATAGCAATGTATATTATGTACACAGAAATTAGTGTTTCAGATTCTCAAAGCATTTAAAAATACTCACAGAGCCTCACAACATTCCTGTAACTAATTGCATTGCATTCTTATTCATCAAAACATTTAAGGATACTCTTCCATATGATTTCAGTATGTTTGCTGAACAAGTCTACAAGATCTTTACTATACAGCAAAGAGAAGGTAAATTAGTTGTTCTGAAGTTACGTCATGAGTGTGTATACAGTGAGAAAGAGTATTGATGTCTCCTGAAGTCTCGATCTTTCTTTAGTTTTGTGTTCCTATTTCACTATTTGATACATGAGAATCTGAAGCTAAGTCTAGATTTAAGTTGACTTAATTAAGGTATCGGGGCTTATTATATCCAGAAGAAATGTTGTTGAAAATAATTTTACAAGAGAGTATTTCAAGAGTAAAATATCCATGCTGAAAACCAAGGTTTTCCTTATTCAGGAGCCAAAAAAATTTCATACCAGATAAAGTCTCCCATTGACTTTAAGCTTTGGATCAGAGCCTAAAATAGTTTGTTAAGCATGACTTCTGCAGGATAATAACAGTTTAACTGGAAATACTTTTCTAGGTGTAAGCACTCTAAATACCTTGAGAATGAATGTTCACAGCATGCTGAAGTACTTCGTATTATTTCAAGTTGTATACGTCCTCATAGTTTTAAAATTATTACAACAATAGAAACAAAGAAATGGACAAAGCATAAGTGAATTGTTTCTAATTTCTTTTAAGAAACAGAAAATGTTATTGTCTACCCTTAATGAATCATTTTGTATTATTCTTGCGAAATTGATAAATCTCCTTTAATGTATCTCTTTAATAAATGTCACGTTCCAGAGCTTAAATATATTTTATTGTTTGTAATCGTGTAGTGTCAGATCGTACCAACATGCTCACAGTTTCCCTAAGGGGTTGCTGCTGTAGAGGAAAACTATATATAAAGGGAAATTTCCAAATCGGCGAAAGGTAAAATGTGTAGCTCACATAGTTAAGGGCATGATAAACCTGAGCTGTCATGTATTGATAACTGATGTCTGATAGCTTAATTTTATCTTATTGCACCAGATCAAGGACAAAGTGAATGATATTATTAATAAAGCCCTAATACTGACTGAACATAGCAATACTAATTTTATGTAAAGTTTCTAACTAATGCAGAGTGCAATAAAAATGTCATGAAGATTAATGCTTGGTGGAATTATCTAATGCTAGATAATAATTTATCTTCCAAAGTTGGCTCCAAGATAGAATCAGACCGGCATATTCCAGGTGAGAGTTTTCGTTCATTTCTATTGTCTACAGAAAGAGTTTTCATTCTTTTTCTGTAATGCAGGTATGACATCAAAGATGACTACACCTTGCGCATTAAGAAGGCCATGAGCACAGATGAAGGAACCTACACATGCATTGCTGAGAATCGAGTTGGAAAAGTGGAAGCCTCTGCTACCCTCACTGTGCGAGGTGAGCGTTCCCATGGAGGGAGGACCTGTCCCCTACATGGATAAATTGCTTTCTGATGAAATGGGCCACACCTTTACCTGGCATTGTTTGGGTTTCACATACCCTTTGCAATTGCGGGTGCTGGCACTGATTTACAACAGAGATAAAATCCTGGTCCTGTTGATATTTGGAGCAAAATTTTAATTGACTTCAGTAGGATAGGATCTCCCTGCAGTTAAAGAGCTGTTGCAGTGTTTTTTTTATTGAAGAATGGATGCATATATAAATATACACACACGTAAGCAAGCACTACATAACCATGGGCATAGACTTTAATATGTGAGCCATCAGTTTAGGCTATTATTCATGTTTCTTTTTCTAATAAGTATAAGAAGTATAGTACGGAACTATGTTTATTAATGCCAAACATAATGCAGGTAGTATTATTATGCGATTAGATCTGCCATAATTAAACTCTACCGTTACTCTTTATCTGAAAGATAAACCCCAGCCAAAGGAATAAGAAAATCCTAATTAAATTTTGTAAGTATTACAAGGTAAAGACTATCATATTCTCTCCTAAAATATCCTTGGTCTCTAGTATCCACTCAGTGTTTATGTACTGCGGTTTGATGTGGTAAGGAGGTTTTAAGACTGGTAGAATAATGAGTTGCCAAAATGTCTTTTGTGACAGTAGATATAGACGTGCTAAATATTATGGGGAGAGAAAAAGTTTTTAGGCTAATATTTCCATATGAGTAAATAGAATATAATAGTTATTACTTCATTCCAAAAGATAAGCAGCAATTTGGCACAATGAATATCACGCAGACACTATTTCACAGTTTAGTGGTGCATGCTGACGGTTTTCAGTAGAGCTGTGAAAGGTTAATAAAAACATTTTTAGCTTTATCTGTTCTTCTCTTTTCATACACATTAAATCAAATGTTCAAAGTCTCAATGGATTGCTTTATTAGAACTGGGGTCAACTGACCCAAGAGGCCAGCTTCCATTTCCATCCATTTAATGCATGGACACAGTTCAGTTTAATTTGCTGAATTCAAAGGGAAAAAAAAAGCACTCCATGGCTTTGTACGGGGGGAGATGTTAGTATATAACAAAGAAAAGAGAGTATTGTGATAATCAATCTGCTGAAATATTACCTCAGTGTGCGCTTTAGAGAATAAGTGATAATGCAGCTCTTCCCGTTTTTAAGCTGAAGAATCAGGTTTACCTGCTACATGCTTGTGTAAAAGATTGTTCTTCCATTTTGTAACGTGAGGAAAAATAGTCACTACAGTGAACTCCCAGAAATACTCTCACTCTGTTCCTTTGTCACAGGCAGAATCATGGTATCCAATAAATCTGGCAACCAATTCAATAGCCTTTAAACACTCCTAGAACTGTGTATACATTACTGGAGCAAGCCTTTTAGATTTGCTACCTAGACTTGTGATATAAACAATAGCTAGAACCAAGCAAAAAAACCCTTTGAAATCACTGAAGCTTGAACATGATGAAATTAGGGCGAAAAAAAACTGAGGAAATATATAATTTAATCGATTTTCCTACAGTAAAAGCAGGTTTTCATTATCTTGGGTATTCTTCCCCCCTGGGTTTGTAAATTATAGTCAAATTCATAGTGTTTATCCAACAGAAGGAAGCCATGGTATTATAAGGATATTAAATGTTCAGGATATGATAGAAAACCAGAAAAGCCAAGAAATTCAATGGGGAAGGTTATTACTCTGAATTTTCTGAAAACAAAGGACTGGGAAAACACCCATTGACTTACGGACCATAAAGAATGGTCCTTTTAATTAAAGGAAGCCATAATTCTGAATTCTTAAACTTTTGCCAGTTTTGTCTGAAGCTGCTTTTACCATAACTGTTTGTCATGTAGAGGAGCAAAAACACATAGCACTTCAAAATTTACTTTGAGGGTGTCTTGGTTCCTTGCAGGTGTTGTGGTTACAGCTGCAAACCTGGCAACAGCAGCACTGTCCTTAGCTCCCTCATTCGTGGCTCCATCTACTTAAAGCAGGGGATGAGGATGAAGTCAGGGAGTTTACATTAAACTGTCACAAACAATAACAGAATTTGAATTCTGTGGCTCAGCCTTCATGCCCTCTCTTGGAAAGGTGCACATCACTCTTATTTCTTATCTCTCTGCAGAAGCAGGAAAAAGACAGAAAGTCTTCAAATAAATGATGGGTGAGAAAGGGCAGCAGGCTTGAAATAGTTAAATGAAGTGGGTATGCCAAAGTAAGGATAAAGACACAGAAAGGTTGAGAACGAAGAATGTCCTTGCATGCTGTGTTACCTCTGGATCTGCATACCCTACTTTTGACCCTAGCCTACACAAAAGCATAAAGAGCTAGTTAACTTCTTAAAAAAAAAAAGAGAGAGAAAAAAATAAAATAAGAGAAAAAAAATTGTGCTGTTGCTCAGAAATGTGTAAGTACTTCAACTGCTAACATCGGGGAAGTTTGGCCTACCCAGATCCAACCTGGAGTCAATTTTAACTTTTCAGTTCTTCTGAAAGGGGATGTCTATATTTTATTAAGAGGGACTGACAGCCCTCTTCCCCAGCACAAGTATAATGAAGGGCTGTTGCTATAATCAAGAAATCGCTTGTTGCAGCAGCAGCTTTCAATCTTGATATCAACCTGAAACAGTATTAACCTGTCGATCATTCAGCAGCAATTTTTTTTAGGAAGTGAAAGTTATCTAAACAGTAATTTGGGAGGTTCTGTGGCCTCAAAATCCCTGCGGCCATTTCAGCCTATTTGTTATATTTTCCTCAGCACCATCAGGAAGGAAAAAGCGGTGTGCTGTAAGCTTTTATGCCTGTTATTGAATGGAAAAAACCGTGTCCTGGGCTTTCTGTAGCCCTTACTGCTGTACGGACTGGCCATGCTTAAAATTCAATCGCTGTTTGACTGCGAAAGCAAACGCCTTGCGTCTACTGGCATGACAGTTGGCAGTCTGCGGCTTAAACTGATGTGTTTATCGGGATCTAAAAGTTTGTGCTAATGCAACGCCATTTTTTCTTTTGTTAAGTATTAACAATGATACTTGGTGATGGCATGCAAAGATAATAAAAATGTTTCTCAGAGAATGGCTCCAAGCAGCTTGTTCAGATGCTATGCTCAAGTAAATGTGATGAGTGGCACATGACTGAACAGTAACAGCAGTAAACATTTTACTTAGGCTGTCTATCATTTGAGGGGTTAGCGATCATGGTAGTATCCATAGTGGAAGGTAGCATTACACGTCATGCATTCTGACAGATATTCTTTTCTTTTTTTAATTTCTTTTTTATGTTCTCACTACACCATTGTAATGTCAACAGCTCGCCCCGTTGGTAAGTAACCATCCTTCTATCCATTTTAGCATGGCTTCATGCAATGCTTCATCTTTCATTTGCAACAGCATTTAACTGGCTGAAGTTAGCAGCCAGCGCTTCATAGTTTTAACTGTCTAACACCAGGCAAGTGATTTTGACTGACAAAGTGCTATTTCTGGACTTTGTGTTTTCTGCTGTGTCATGTATAAACGCATTTACCAAATCACGAACAAATACCAATCAGCGAAACGGGGTGGGTGTGGTGATACTGAGCCAAAATCACTCATTCAGGCATTTTTAACGGTCTGTTTAAGGGCCTGGTACAGAAGCCATTGAAATCAACGGAAAGGATTGTATTGACTTCGGTGAGCTTCTATCAGGCCCTAACCGATCAGCTCATTATGCTTTTATTGCATAGCAGTAAAAGCACAGGCTTTGCATGTCCCGTCTTTCTTGTATCTTTCAAAGAGTTTTGAAATTAATTAGTCCTGAAATTGAAGAGGGGATGGAGTAGATTTCCGTGCTTGTTAAGAAAGTTCATAATTGATTTTTGCCCTTGGGTCATCTTTGAATGCATTTTGGAATGTGCTGTATAGGATGCAGACTGTTTTGAATAACAAGTCCAGAGGAAGATAACCTCTGGATTTTGAATTCCCACACTAAAAATTTGTTTCCTTCCTATAACTTTGAAATTATTTCTGAAAATTCATAAAAATCTAACTGAGCATAATGGAAAAATTGCAACTGTCGGTGGCTGAAATTCACTTTTGGTGTTCAGAAGTTTCCTAAACATATTATTTAGTTTTCATTCACGGATGTTTACTCTGTGCCTATATATATTTTCTAAATACTTTAACCAGTTGCACTGCTCCTCTGATTTTTGTAGTTTGTGTTTAGATGTATCTTTGTATCTTTTAGAATAACGATATGGTTACTCTTGATTTTTTGGATTAGTGTGAAAAGTATGTACTGGTGTTTACAGAGAATCCTGAGGCGTTTGGTCTGTCTTTATGTAGTCAAAACTTATGTTAGATACGCATTTGACTAATGTTTGTGAGTTTGAACTTGTCCCAGCTCTTCACTGTTACAAGTTGGAGGAAGATAGGTTGGAATAATTTAAGGATAAAATCCAGGTTAGGCCTCTGTTTCCAGAACCAAGGTGATCCCATGGTTATTAGTTTACTAACATAGGCATGGCCAAGCCGACTACCTCCACAGTCACGGCATGGCTTATCCTTACCTGGAGAATTCCCTGTGCCGAGCGGAAATTCGCTGTTCTCCATTTGGGATTTTGATAGCAAGCTTTAAACCCCAGTCACTACTGTATTATTTTGTCATTGTGCTAGTTCTCGAGAAATGAATTCCCAGGAGTTGTAACTGTGTAAAACTGGAGTAAGCTCATACAAAAATTTTTTCCTTTGCTTAGAAAAAAGTATAACTTTAGCATGCTTCTGATGTAACTCTCTCATGTGGGGGGGGAGTGGTATGCTAATAATGAAATCTCCTCCTCCATTCCCTAAGAAAATGCTACAAGATTAAAAGTGTTTTACTTCTAGTTATTTTTCTCACTCTTTAAAGAAAGGCAAGAAAAAAAATCACAAAGTAGAGATTGTTTCAGGCTCTGTGAAAGCCACGTAAAGTAAATGACTGGAGATTCACAGGAAAATGATAGGTTTCAGCAGCGTTGGTGGTGTCTTATTTCAGAACGCATTCTTTTTTAAGACTTTTCAGACTGTTGAGTCATCCATGATTCCATCTCCAAAGTTTATACAGAAGCTCTTGGTCTCAAGTTACTTATGTCCAGGTATATGATCCCCTTGTGTGACCATGCTGTGATCAATTTGTCATATTCCCTGCCTATGCTATTTTATTTTGTTACAAGTGAACATCTGGTACAAAGAAAATTCTTCTTTTACATGAGTTATTCAGGAAACATAAATGAGAATGGTTGACTTTAAAATAATTCTTATAAGGTCATACGGTCTGTATCAATTTTTTTTAATTTAGTGATTATCTTTGTGAATTGTGAAAAGATTGTTAAGTAAGTTTAAGTCCAACCTCAAAGATATTTAACATGTGGAATTCCTGTACAAGTGTTTATGTAGTGATTTGTGTATATAAGCAGATCACTTTCTTTAGATCATTTTTATCTGATCTTGTGCCTGTAGAAAAGGCAATACTGTCCTGATGGTGTATGCCTTATTGTCTTTTGCTTAAGGACCTGAAGTGAAACTGATTTCTACAGCTCATATCTCTGTTTCAGAGAAGTGTAGGTAAAGCAATGGCTACCTATCCTGTTTTTTGAAAATTTAAAGCCCAGTAAAGCAAAACAAAGTAACTTTCCTCTCCACCACCAGTTCCCCACCAAGAAGCCCAAAAAAGTGTCATTTGACAAGAATGGTCAATCAAATCTTGTAGCATTTTTTTGATCAGGAAATTGGAACGCAGAGCAAAAATACATCTCCTTACAGAAAGGAAGCTAAAGCAAACACCACTTAATGTTATTAAGCTCACAGCTCTTTAGGAGGATAACATTTTAACAGAAGTATATCTATATAGTTATCTATACGTTAAACTGCAGGGGAGCAGTTTAAAAGTTTATATTCTTTCATGACACCTGAGAATTATCTATGTACCTTTACCTTTCATCACTACCTCCAATTCAAAGCAGACATTTTGTCTTTGTTGTGTTTTAAACAAGACCAAACCATTTGCTTTCAATGCCTTGTCACTGAAGAACGGAAGAATGTTTTTTTAAGGTTCCAGCATTGCAATTCTTGTTGCAAACTGAATAATTTTCATTTTCTAATTGTTTTTTGCCTGTTTCAAATATTTATATTCTATTAGTTGTGATATTTTAATTTAAATCTCAACTTGAGTGATAAATTCAGGAGCGGGATTACCAATGACCATGTTAGGTTTAAGCAGTTAACATATGGTATATACTATATAGACAAAATGATGTTCTGCCCGAGGTGGATGGCAGCTGGGGAATTTAACAGCTCTATGCCAGAATACTCATCACATTTGGATTTGCTGCTAGGGATAAATGTGTTGCCTGTTTCTAAAATAGGTGTTCTCTTATTTATAACCTTTTGAAAAGATTTCTGACAGGATTTACAACAGATGGGTTTAGGAAACAAGATATTTATCCCTATTTAGGTCATTTCTGTTGTTATTTCACTCATTAGATGGATTTTCCAGAAGAGCAAGTTAGTATTTTCTCACTTCCACATCCTGCTGTATTTCTTATGGCAGTTGGGCAGGAGAATAGCTGTTGAAGCAAGCACAAAAGCTGGGAGGAGCTCCAAAGTTTCATCTAGCCACACTGAAAGTAACACTTGACAATCTTTTCAAAAGCATTTGCTATAATGCTTTGAGACGGAGGGCCTAAAGTTCAAAAAGAAGATCTGTGAAAATCTGTCTGATGTTTCAGTTACTTTTTTACTAAACATCCAAAAAGTCATTCAGATGACAGAGTACTCAGCTTTCTAATTAATATTGGCTATGTCCAAGTGAAAATACAGTTCTTTGCATTTCAGTTGCCTTGCAATAAGTCAAGCTTACTTAATGTATTGTCATATGCTATGACTCATCTTCCCAGATAGAAGTGACGTGCAGCAAATAGCTAGATACTTTTGCCACCTGGATAGAAATTAAGTATTTGGAATTAACTAAGGAAGTAAGAGGAGACGAACCAAGTTACAAAAACTTCACTTCCGTACCATGTTGGAGAAGAGAGAAACAGATAAGACACCTGCCATGAATTTTCCAAATTTCAGACTAATTAAATACAGTCTATTCACATTTAAGTGTAATGTGACTGTATGATGCATTTCATTCTGCTCTGGGAAGTTTTCATGTCATAAATCAGCCTGGCATGACTTAATGGTCTATTAAGAGTGGTGCAGCATGAAACATAAAATAGAAAGGGCCGTATTTTAAACAAAGTTGTATTAGGTGTTGTGGCTTGAAATCATATTGTTCGGATGGTTCAGACTGGTAAGTGAGAAAAATCTCTCATTACTCTTCATTCTGACCCTTGCAAGGAAAGTCATAGCATGAATGCTTTTTTTTTTTTAGTATATTCATGAAAATATCACCTTCACTTGAGACACTGAGGATCTATACAATATCAGTAATGGCGATTGCTGTGTGACAGAAGAGATGAGATCATGCTTGCAAGTATGGTGCCATCTTTCAGTGGCAGAAATCTCAAATCTATATCAAAATGATATTGCCTGTCTGCCTGCTGCTACCACCTGTGGAAATTTTCAGAAGAGAATGAGGATACCAGTGGACATTAGGCTTTTGGGATTTGTTTCTTCCTTGGGCAAAAGAAGGAGGAATGCATTGCTATTGTTTAAAAATAGGCAAATTCTTTAAATTAAAGAGAAAAGGTTACCATAGAAGGAAATTCAGATTTCTTTGTATACCAGTAAGAAATTAAAATATGGAGCTGATTTGTTCTAACAGTTCTTAGACTTTTAAAGACCAGTCTAAAAATCCTAAAGTCGTTAGCATTTCTACTTTGGCAAAACTCCACTGGCTGAACTTACACTTGAATCCTATAATGACTTCAGGTATCATAGAAATACAATGTTTGCTATATGTGGGCCAGAATGTCTTTGCAAGCGGACATGGTGCACATTAACCACCAAGCATTTATGTGCTGGTCCACAAAACTCAGCTTCACTTCCAGCTGTTCCACATCTTCTTGGGTATGCCAGGTAGTGATGAGAACAGAAACATAGAAGATCTGGTAGAGGATTCTTCTTCAATGATAAGCGTGAAAGACGGCAGTGTAGGAACTTCAAGTTTTTGGAAGTCACACTGTGATGTCCTGGCTCATTCCGCTACGGTACCAAGTATGTGCCAATACTCACACTGTTTCTCTTTAGAGAAAACCCAGTTACAGCAAGTGCAGGGAAGTGATCAAGGGCCTCCTTTTTTCTTTTTTTTTTTTTTTCATTGCTGAAGTCTAGCTTGGGAAAGTTTTAAGAAGTTTGGTGTGTAAA